TTAACATAATATGTAAACGGATTTAACATTACTTACAGCTTTTTGTTTCAGATAGAAAAGAAAAGAAATTTATTTTGATAACCAAATGTTTCAACCGAACAATAGACATCTTTCGATCAACACGAAAATTATTATTACGATGTAGCTTTGCTTTATTGAGATCAATTTAATTTGGATCCAAATATTATGGAAAAAGAATTTAAATAAAAACTTATGAAAAATTTTCCAAATGCGATCGCCCCTTTGCAGAGAATATCAACCCCTCCGAGTGCATGTATTTCTGACATTAAATAATGGCTCCTCATAAAAATTTCGGAGATGGCTTACAATAAACTGTAGGTCCCCCCTCCATTTTTTGGAAAAACATCAAGACGCCTAACAAAAATTGGCGAATGAACTCGGCAGGAATAGCTTCGTGACATCAATAATCGGAAACTGTGCTGCTCACTAAGATGGTTCTATGAGATGTTATGATATGGTATGGTTATAGCATCGTCGTGTGAGTCCCACATCTCCACAAGCGACCATCGATTGCTTACCCATTGTTATTTTGACAGGCAATTCCCGACAAATTTTATGAAATTTGAAAATCTGACGGTTGATAGCAGGCAATTATTTGTCTAGACTGGCAATTTGCCGCTTCCGAAAGGCCTGAAGATTTTTATAAGAAGCTATTATTTCACGACATTTCCGGTTGAGGAACAACCGAAATTAGAAAAACTAAATTTTTTAATGTTGTATGCTGGTCGAAACAAGAAACGAACACCGAGCTTCCGAATTAAAAAATGTTATAACTCCAAAGTTATATATTCTATTTCCTTTCCTCAGAACTTAACTACAACCCCAAATAACGATTTATGAATTGAGAGCTAAAGTTTTATATACATAAGCTACAATTTAACTGATCTGACAATTTTCTACCAATACTTTACAAGATCAACTAAGTGGAAGCTATACGCCGAGCCCCAGAACAAATGCGAGAATTGACATTAAAATTGGAAAATTCAAAGATATTTCGAGCACACTTTTATTTTGTTAAATTATTTGGGTTTATAAAAATGTGAGCGAAAGACAATGGTTTCGTTAGAAGAAGAATACTTTGCCTAAGCTCTGTATTTTTTAAAGAAAACCATGCTAGAAATTAATCCCGTAAATGATAAAAGAAATGAATTTGAAAAATTTCGTCATCTACATAAATGAAGATTAACGAAAAGATCCGCTAACTATTCTTGAATTTACTGATTACAAATTGATTAGTGGCAATCGCCAACTGAATACTGAAATGCAATTTTAGTGTAAATCAGCAGCTGTGCTGTTTTTCGCATCGATCAGCTTTACTTTCCACGCCTTACATGTTTTTATCAACTGTTTATAGAATTTATCAGGTGAATTCCTCAAAACTCTCTCCCGTCAACTCAAATGTGACTGCTGTGACTGCCGGCAAATGCAATTGTTTATTTACTTACCGGCACTAATAAATTCAGCCGGTTATTTCGAGAGGCAGGTTGGCTCTTTCGTGGAAGCGTCATTCACAAAAAAAATGTCTCTCATAACATTTAATTATGTGGAATGTTATTTACTCAAATGAGATAACTTTATTTATCATAATATTAATGTGTTATCTGATAATCGAGTCGAGTCGCGGTCATAGTAATGACGTGAACCGCACATTTAATGCAGGATGGATTGTGTGGCTGATAGTATTTAACACTTCGTCATATTTCATTGATATACATCCAAAAGACCAATAATGAGGAACGAGCTCGGAAAAATTATGTAAAGTTTGTGGTGATCACTACCTTACGAAATGGCATTGTGTCAGCCTTGGTTTACTTGCCTTCGTTCTGGAATTTTAAAATTAAAGTCACTCCACAGTGAGTGTCCAAGGTTCGGCAGGCAAAGAGACGCTTACTTGGCGCTGAAAGGCTTCAGACCCTTCAATCGGTAATAGCCAAGATGCCAAAACAACTACTTCCATTTGTGACACTAGAGGCACAATAAACAGTATAGCAATTCAGCTTGGTCGTATGTAGTGTGTCTGGTGAAACTGAACTGAACGTAATATCGTTTATGTGAGGTCCAATGTGTCAACCAATTCAACCTAACTTAACCACTCCATATATCTACAACCATTTACTGTTGGCATCATAATAAAGGCATTAATAGAAACTAACCAGCACATGGCAAACCGATAATAACCAGGAAAGCTAGAGATATCGAATTTAACGATTTACTGTATTTACTTATATCACTACTCCAAACGCATAACATGTCCGAACCTCCACTGGATAATAACCAATATGACATACATCTGTAATGTGAATCATAACGGGTGATAAAAATTATTTTATAGTTTGTGATAAGGTTATGCGATAAACATCAAGATTCAATCAAAAAAAGGTCCCACAATCGTAGTTCAAAAGAAACACCCGATCTGTACTTTCCTATCGGGTGATGAAGTGATGTTTCATAATGATAATAATGAACTAAATGTCCCAGACATAACCCATCAACACTTAATAAGACCTTCACGGAAACTCATGTTATCCTATCTACTAAGCTAGGGAATAGTTTGGTATATGATTCGAGAGATAGAAAGACGGATTTTTCGACAATATTGTTTGAGCTTCAATACAAAGGCTGATTTAATGGGTATTTTAATAGTAGCGGTATAATTAAACCCGATGCTCAATATTAGCAACAAATTTTAATTGAATATTTTTATGTAATATAATAAACGCTAAAGTGGTTCACGCAATTATGTATATGTGTATGTATGCTGATATTTTGCAAAATTTTTATTGATAGAATAAAAAACAACCGTATTTTAGACGCTTCGATGTACTTATTTTTATATACGAATTCTTATCGCTTACCCCAAGTGAAAGTTTCAAAGACCTCTGCCATATGGCTCTATATATAAATTTTCATAGTTAATACACATTATCTTCGCTGTTGGCAAATACAATCGGAAGGTCAACAACATGTTCGCATAGAAGATTTTTAGAGGAAGTGATTATCATACGAGCACATCCAGCTGGCAGCCGCAGTAGCCGACTGGTTAGCATTGCGTACTGCTATTCGGAAGGCACGCGTTCTTAATCTGGTGTGGTACTAACATCCAAATGTTATGGAAAATTAATTTAGATTAAAAAATAAACAAAATTTGCCAATTGCGGTCGCCATCGGCAGATAATGTCAACCCCACTGATTGTATTTATGACATGAAATAAAGGTTCCTCATAAAAAAATCATCAGCCGTTCGGAGACTGTAGGTCCCCGCAATTGTGGGAAAAATATTAAGGCGCAAAACCACAAATTGAAGGAGGACCTCGGCCGAAAATGGCTTCACTGGATGTAAATATCCAATTATATATAATTCAATTCAACCAAATCTATCTTTGCTCATTACGTTATTCTGGTAGAGAATCTACGAGCTCGTAAATTTTCAAGTTTCAGAGATAACTGTTGTAAATGTGGTAATTCTTCTATAAAAAATAAATTTTTTTACCAGTATGAGTACGGGATAGAGATATATATTGGCAGTTTGAAAATTTGTGGTCGGTGCCGTGAGTCGTCCCAAATGAACCTTAACTCGGGGGATGCTAAATGATGTTCATTGGTGCGGTGCAACCAAAACAATAGAAGTAATTTTTAAACAAAAACCAAACCGCCGAGAAAGCTAAATAATGAGAAAACGAAAAGCAAAAAAAGGAGTTAAGGTTAAGTGCGGCTGAATCTGAAAATTAGTTCCTTGGCTCTTAAAGAAGTTTAGAAAGGAGTGATAATTTTGGACTTTCTTCAGCGTAATTGTCAAACATAGAAATTTCTTATTGCACTAACCAGAGAAAAAGGAGTTCAAATATGTGAGGAAGGGTTGCATCCGTACCGGAGAGGAACAGCAATAAGTTTGCAAGCCACTAATTACAGAAACTTGGAGGGTGTGTTCTGTTTTCGAGAAGTGGAGCTAAGCCCGATCTATTAGAAAAAATCTGTTTTATTTTTCGTTAATCAAATTTAGTACATAAATATCTTTGAGCCTAAATGAATATGGGGAATCCTTTTTCTTCCGGGAAGTAGGCTTGGGATCAATTTTATGGTACGGATTTGCTTGATATGTAGAAAATTATGCAATCAAAGCTGTAAAAATATTACTTATTCTAAGACTGTTTTTTCTAGAAGTGAAGCCGGTTAAGTGGGGCTTGATACCTGGAACATAGAAAGCTCTTTGCCTTGGCTAATATGTGAAAATCGTTACCTTCTTTTGCATACATTTGAATAAGTAAAATAATTTATAAGTTGTAATAAAATAAGTTATATGGGAAACGGGTTATAAATGTCATTAAAACTATTTTTAAATTCGATCCGGCAGTCGTGGGCTTAATCTAGTTAATAATAAGACGGTCAAATATATGAACGATACATCCCTACTATTTATGCATGTAAAAATATGGTTTTAGGGTTTCATATTTATATTTTCAAGTCGGTATATTTCAATATTTTTCACAACTACGAACAATGAGACAATCATTTTATTTAGTTTATAGCTTCCACAAATACATGTGTACACATGAACATACCCTGCAGATAAAAATATTAGTTTTTAAATAAAATCCTACCTCTGGCATCAGCTTAATACCAGTTGAATACTAGTTCATTTAGGTATGATGAATTTTTACTTCATCATCAAGAAAAAAATAGTATGGCTGCAGCACATCTATAACAATTTCGCTTACTTCAACAGACCGTAACTGGGAATGGAAGGCGTGGCGTGCTGCTATTCTAATAACCAAACGGTATGATTTCATCTTCAATATATATATACTAGAATTTGTCCAGAATTCTCACTTACTAGTATACCTTCTCTCTGCAGAGTAGGTACAGATGCATGTATTACTTAAAAATCTACAAATTTTAATGTAAACAATTCAAAACCTGATTATCAAATATTCAAACTTATCGCACGAGTTTTCGTATTGTAAGTAAAATAAACCAGACAATTTCAGTTGAAAACTTTATTGAATCTTTTTCTTTGCGTTAATTGCTCTCAAAATTCACTTAAGCACTATGCTTTCGCACAATTTTTTCTCCACCGGGGCAATTGAAAGTAACTTGAATGCCATTTTCCAACCAAGGTTGAGACCAGATTTCGACAAGGCACTTTTTAATTTCATTTCCAGCCTGGAGGTCTACATCGAGTTTTAAGAGTGTACCAGAGACAACTTGTCTGCTAGCCGAGTTCACCTTTGAGATTCTGTTTAAGTGACAAACGAATATGGAATAAAGTAGAAAAAACAATTGTAAATAATACAGTCGATATATATATACATATATATGCACACATGCATATGTACACTTACTTGAAGTCTGGTCCTTCTCCAAGACCCTTAAGTTTAGTTAGGGATTCTTGCAGTTCTGATTCGGCTTCTTTCAAATCAGCGCCACTGAGTTGACTTTCGCCACCAAGCAATTGCTAAATTAAATAAATATACATTAATGTTTCACTGTCTCATTAACAGATACTGAAAACGTTGAACTCACTTCGTTCGGCATTGCGTAGACTGTAGCGATGACACAACTCAACAACACAAACACAAATAATTTCATGCTTACCATTGCGTATTTATTAGTTTTATCTTTAGAGAATTGTAAATTGTGAGTTCTCTGTGCAAAGAGATGAATTACACTGTTGATAAACTGAAAACAAAGCACAACTTTTATAGTACGCAAAGTGCGATAGTTTGCTACTCACAAAAAAATCACTACATATGTGCCTATGTATGTATGTACATATATACATACATGCATACATTGTATGGTGAGTGAAATCGAAATATTGATAGCTCTCATATTTATACACATATTGGACATACATACATACGTATATTCGTAATATATTTATATTTGTACATTTATGGCTATTTTTTCCAATCGTGAGCAAATACAAAGGCAAACAAAGTTATCCCTCTTTACCATTGTTCTCTCTGTTTGACCATATAACGTAACATAGATACGTTTAAATACAGTGACGTTTAAAACATGAGCAATATATTTGTTCACACAGTTCGAATCTGAGTAGAAATATACATATGTACATACAAGTGAATTGCACAAGGGAAAACAAAAGAAAATCGAACAGAAGGATTTATTTGATTTGATTTGAAAGATATACAGATATTAGATGCATTCGTTGAGAAATGTCAGTAAAATTGACAGCCCTCCAACGGTTAATATACCAATATGTCTTCCTAATAGTCCTCTAAAAGGTGGAAAATTCATGTAAAACTTGCTTTGCAACAAGTTGTCGTTTAGACTTTCAGGAATGATAACTTAAATACGAATAAAAGTTTTAAAATCTTTTTTTATAGAGTTTATGCGATTATGTTCAAATAAAAACCCAGATAGAGCTTTATGTTTCCTTCCAAAAGCTACTAATATTTCATTTTGTGCTTCGTCGCCGCTTCCGGAAGCTAAATAATGTCACTGTGTCGGTTAACAGAAACTTGCTTCGCTGATTTGGTTGGATACTGCTTTCTAGTAAATTACAGAAATCCAAAATCAATTTGCTTTGTACTAAAATAAAAACACATTCTAATTCTATGCCTTCAATATTCCTAAATTCGAATTCATCAAAGTAAGCTGGTGGTATGCGGACGATGATTCCACTCCACTGCCACCGCATTTGATTGCATCGTTGATTATTTTGGATCTTATTTTGGTAGTATATCATTCATATAAAAGTGTTTTTCAAATTTGCTAGTTTTTACTGGCTGAAATTTTACCAGCCCGAGTTTTAAATAAAAAAAACTTATTGGGAAGAATAGAAGTGCCTAATAGGCTGTAATCGCTCGATAGGAATTCTGCGTTGACACATAGAACACAATGAAGTCTGCATGACTAAGGAAAGTATTGTAGCGGCTGCAGAGAAGTTTATATGGATAATACGGACGTTCTGATATTATTATATAAATAACTGAAAATAGAAGGAATTTCGCCAGCCATGCTGTGGAGAGTCAAATACCGGTTTATGTGTACATTTTCAAAGCAAACTTTATGAAGATTGCATAAGTGAAAATTACATTCCTGTTGCAGAACTAATATTCTTATATAAGATAGGTAATACAGAGCATCTGTATCTTAAGGACTACTACAAAATAAATTTTGAAACATTGGAGCGTCTCATGAATTCAAGAAGGTAGGTAAAAAGCCAAATTATCGCATTATCCTCCAAGTCGAAATATTTGCTATGGAGGATGGCGACAACGCTATGGTACAGAGAAGGTCTTCAAAGCGGCCACTGGCCACTGGTTAGACTATTTAAGGAGGCGATCAAAAAGCTGACAGAGAACAGAAATTTTCACATTTACCATTAAAGATAGCTGATGTGCTAACTAAAACGGGTGCCTTGTTGGAACATGTGGTAATTATTGATCTACCAGTCCCATTTAGAGAAGTGAAGCACACACAATACTCACAGATTAAATGACGCAAAACTTACTAGCGAAAATGACCCGCTAACGTCACATGTCTTCAATTTTTGTGCCTTAAAGTACATCTAGTGTAGAGAATGTGAAACACGAAATCTGTGAATGCCCAACGCCCGGCGATCAGACACTAAACTTATTTTGTATGGAAAAGCAGTACGATCTTCAAACAGCAGTTGATAAACGATCAAAAAGATTCTTTGAGTTTAAAAAGAGAACAACAATGTTCTTCAAACTAGACACACAGCTCAGAGTGAAATACCGTCTAAGTGAGACTCGCTGAAGTCAACTAGTTCAACTTAATCTAACTTAGGTTATGTAATTTGTCTCGGTTGTAGAGGTGTGTGAAATTTTTACCTGCTTATATGCGGTCAATTGGATAATCTGCCAAAATTTTTCACATCAATGTTTGTGCTCGGATCCACACTCATCTTCACATGGGTTGGTTAAACGAATTAATTGTACAGGGGATGCCCCACAAAATATGATAATTCTCCTAATGAATATATATATATACATACATAAATAAGTATATGAGAAATTCTCATATATGCCAGCAAGTCTTTATACATATGTATGTATCATTGATTGTAGTGGAAAATTTTAGCTAATTTTGTAGATAGTTAAATTAAAAAGGTATAGACTTTTGAAAATATTGACTCTTAGCCTGTTAATGAAATTCAAATTTAATTATTTTAACCTAGGTTTGGGTCCAACTTCCTGTATAAACTATGTGCTTTTATCAAAGACAAAACTAAAAGTACTGATTTTTTTGAATAATTTGTTCTTTACCAGATGTCAAATTGTAAGTAATTACTTTCATACATACTCTTATCAGAGTTCTTATCAGAAGTAAGAAGCAATATTTTCGTAAACATCGGCCTTATCAGCATATATATACATACATACAAGCATATGTATCATTTCCAATTTGCTCATGCCGACTTTTCCGTTGGCGAATCGTGAGTAAAAGTAAGGAATATATAATAATAATTAAATATTAAAACATATGTATGTACATAAATATTGTGAATGCAATGCATATAAGAGTAAGAAATAGATCTTCGATAATAAAGCAGGAAAAACTAATGAAACAAAATCACTGTTCTTCACGGTGTGTAATAGTTTTTGGCTTTCATAAATGGGCAAGTGCAAGTTAATTAAGGCGGACGCGTCGGAATGTTAAGGCTCCATGACGGAATATCCCCAAATGCATAGCTGATCGAGTTGGCCGGGACCTGAAATAGGGTTTTATGTAGTTTTCAGTTCCAGCAAAAGAAAATTAGTGAAGATCACGGTTGTCTCCAGAGCGATAAACTCACATTCAGTTCAATGTAAAGGCACTGTGGGACGGAGTTTCAAGTTTCCTACATTCAGCTGCAAAAGAAATCCTTAGTTTTTGCAAGTTTAGGAGAAGAGCTGGAATAATCGGGATGGCGATAAAAAAGACTGTCTACTACGCATTGTCGTGAACAACTGTTGTGTGGGAAAGATACCGAGAGTTGAAGGGTACTGAGTAGATAATTGCAAAGTAAAGTCATCTCACAACCAACAAAAACTGAGCTCACTCATTATTCTCGTCCTGCTATAAGGTGCAGAAGCGTGAGGAGTCGACGACAAGAGTTTTCCAGAGAAGGATTTTGCGAAGGATTTATAGTGGTTTGCGCATTGGCTATGACAAATACCATAGACAATAGAACGATGAGTTATACGAGTTATACCACAGTGTTTAATCGCCCTTTTCTCGCAACCACGTTTTTTCCAACTCTTATATAGAACTTAATGAACTTATCAAGATTAACTAAATGACATTTTACTCCTAAGCTTTCTCTATATGGTCGGTACTACAACCAAAAATATTAATTTGTTATTTTTAAAAATTTTTATTAAACAATAAATTGAAAAAAATGCTGAAAAATTACAAAGTCCGCCATTATTATTATTATTATTTTTTTTTTGTGAAAATGCATTGTTGTAGCTCCGGCCCAAGGTTTATAGAATACTATTTAAGATACAGCTTCTACGCTGGTTAGTCCATATTATACGTACGGGCGATAACACATCAGCTTTTCATTTTTGATGCAGTAGAGAAAGAGAAGACCTCTGCTTCGTTGGTTTCCAACTGAGTCAATCCATGAAATTTGATATACCCTTTCCATTCTACAAACTAAAATGTTGTGCATTTTACGACTCAAAATTCCTTTCTTTCCATATATCATATCAAGTCTTTGAAAAAATTTTAAAAGCTATAACAAAGACCTCACTCCCTAATTGGCACAACTAAAATCAACAGTTTATTTATGTATGTGCATAGTATGGTAAGCAGCACTCTTAGATAACAAACTATGATAACAAACAATAATAGTTTTCATTGAAATGAAGTAATTTCACTTATCAATAAATGAATCAGTTACTCGCGTCGTGTCGGAATAATGACGTGAACTATATATTTCTGTACTAGTGATAGCGAAAAACAACAATTTGATTGAAGTTTAAGTTGAAAATAGGAAATCTAAGAGACCGTTGGATATTTAATTGTTTTTTATTTTTTTATTATGATGAGTATTGCCCTGCCGAACTCCAGTGTCTGCAAGGAGGCTCGTCATATCGATCTGTGTTGTTGTTGTTGTAACCGCAAAATATTTCCCGAATTTGTTTTTGGAGAATAGTGACAGTCCTTGGCAAGATAAAAATTTCGGGTCGTTCCGGTATAAAGATCCAACTGTCGCGGGAACTATTGAATTTGTGTCGCCTCTTACAACAGGCATGCCTTGCCACCGGTAAATTCTTGAGCCCCTGACCCACATTTGCTCGATCTGTGCTGTACCCCAAGCTCAGGTAGAAATATTTATTGACCTCAACTAACAAAATTGAGGAAATATCATCGATAAAACTTGTACTGAACTGCTTATTCGCAAATATTTCGCCATGATAGAAATAGAGAGAGGAGAGGGTATGTACCCCGCGTCCAGTGATCTATTGTTACATTACACATTACATCAATAAATTCTGAAGGCCTTTAGAACTCTAGCAGGCTAGAAAAGTTGATTGATTTAATGTAATTTGGCTCCGGGTGTAAGACTCCTTGATCTCTTAGTTTTCTTCTAGCCACGGCTTTCCATTCAAGCGGCAAGTTTCATCACAGCTGATTGCTATTCTTTTTATATGATTGCGTAGTCCGCAATGTACTGTAAGAAATCCTATTAATCTCCTTAAGATATTC